AATTTTTAATTTTGAATTTCAATTGTTAGTTTTGTTTGCTAAATTTTTAACAATCACAATTGAACACTAGGTCTCAATTGTTTAAATAATAAAAGTTGCATTTATTTCTTCTAAAGAATTAGACGTATTCATGTGAATTCTTTATCATGGTTCTCAAATGTTATTAATTCTCATAAAAATATAACGTAATCAACACAAATTTAGTTGAATAATCTAATTCCAGTTCATAACAGTGGATTTTAATATCAAATAAACAGACACTTATTTATTAATAAACTGAAACAAAAAAATAACTCTCATAAAAATATAACGTAATCAACACAAATTTAGTTGAATAATCTAATTCCAATTCATAACAGTGGATTTTAATATCAAATAAACAGACACTTATTTATTAATAAACTGAAACAAAAAATTAATTAATAAAAAAATGAAAATAAGATAATTTGATACTTTAAATGTTAGTACTTTTTTTGAAATTATTCAAATATCCTTTGATTCATTAAGAATATTTTAATTTTTTTATTATTATTTTTGAGATTTTAATTAATAAGACGTTTTGATTTTCCTTAATCCTTAATTAAGAAAGGAAAGAAAAATGAAAGTTGGGCTAGTTTGAACAACCGGAAGAAGTACAACCACGAGAACAAAATTTATACAAAGTCAGGGGCTCTATCATAAAATACCATATTTACTTCCACAGTTCGACCGTAATGACTTCAAGTTGTTGCATTGAGTTGTTTTAAAACTTCGAATCCTCAACCGAAAAAACAGGCGGCGGCATTTCAGAGGCAAAAGAGAGGGCGCTCCCCGGTGAAGACGAACGGCCCTCCGACGACTGCTGGACTCTGTCACTTCTTGTAAGATACCGGCATCTTTTTCGTCCTATCGAGCTCCTATGATTTATTATGTTTCCAATTTTATGCTTATTTCAAAGAGTCAAAAGAATCGTAGAATTTTTGGATAGAGAAAGGGAGACGAGGAAATCTAGGTTTCTACTTGGCTATTTTGGTTAATTTAATTTCTGGGATTTGCTTAATTAATTTTGTATTCTGTTTTCCAGAAATTTTAAGCAGAAGATATACTTTAATTCCTCAGATTTAGATTCTATAACGGATTTTTAGTGAGGATTTCTACAAATTTGTTTCTTTTTTATGTTGGTTTTGATGTTTGATTTTGATTTGGGGTAAAAAAACACAGATGATGTTATCTAAGGTTGAAACTCGGAAGAAGAATGGTGGAGATTCAGGAAGTGGGAAGCTGTTGACTGAAATTGAAGCTATTAGTAAAGCTCTTTACTTGGACAGAAACCCTTCAAGGTCTTCGAGTTCTACATCTACCAGTCGGTCAAGATCAGCCTTGAAATCGAGTCTTCCTGAACCAAAATCCAAGGTTAAGAATGGTAATGAAGATCCATCACAGAAAGGCAAGAAGTCCTTTTGGAATTGGAAGCCATTGAAAGCCCTTTCACATGTTAGAAACCGTAGGTTCAATTGTTGTTTCTCTCTTCAAGTCAACAACATTGATGGCTTGCCCCCAAGTTTCAATAATACTAGTTTTTGTGTGCACTGGAAGAGGAGAGATGGAGATCTTGTGACACGTCTTGCAAAAGTTTTTGATGGAATGGCAGAATTTGAAGAGAAGTTGACCTACACATGTTCAGTGTATGGGAGTCGAAGTGGACCTCACCATTCAGCAAAGTATGAGGCAAAGCATTTCCTCCTCTATGCTTCTGTCTTTGAAGCCCCAGAACTTGATTTGGGAAAGCATCGAGTTGACCTCACAAGGTTGCTGCCAATTACATTGGAGGAACTGGATGAAGAGAAGAGCTCAGGGGAGTGGATGACGAGTTTTAAGTTATCAGGACAGGCTAAGGGTGCAACCATGAATGTTAGTTTTGGGTATTCAATAGTTGGGGATAATCCTATTCCACCTCGGGATAATCAAAATGTTGCCAAGGTTTTGCATATAAAGCAGAATAATTTAAGTTATGAAAAACCAGTTACTAGAGTTGTTGGTGGTGATGGAAAGGGCAGAATGAGGCGTGTTGAGAGTCTTCCCAATGTGGTCAAGGGCCAGACTCATTTTGCATCCCATTCCATAGATGAAATAAAAGATCTTCACGAGGTCTTACCAATGTCAAGGTCAGGACTAGCTGGTTCAGTAAATATGCTATATCGGAAATTTATTGAAGAGAAGTTGGATGCTCCAGTTGATTATAAGCCTGAACAAGATGTGTTTACTGAAAAAGTTGAGCCCATAAAACCTCAACCACATCCTATGTCTGATGAATCAGATAAAGAAATTATTGAAAATGATGTTCAAGATAATGAGTTTTCTGCTGTTGAACAAGGGATAGAGTTATCATCAGAAGAACTAGCTAAGTCAGAGGATGTCATCATAATGGCTTCTGATGCACCTATGGTGGAGAGCCATCAAGTTGTTAAAGTTGATTTTGGTGCCGGAGCAGATTCTGAAGAAAACAATCAGCTTCCCACAAATCATGAGAGTGGTAGTCATGAAGCTGTTGTGCAGTCCCAAGAGGATGATCAGTGCTCAAAAGAATTAATACTGAAAGAACTGGAGTTAGCTTTAAATAATGCTTCAAATTTGGGAACAGGGTTGGATTCCCCTGAAGACCAAGATGACATGGAGTTCCCTCATAGTATGGGGAGGTCAAATAGCTTGGATGATATTACTGAATCTGTGGCAAATGAGTTCTTAGCCATGCTTGATATTGAGCATAGTCCATTTGGCTTGAGTTCTGAAAGTGAGCCTGAGTCTCCAAGAGAGCGCTTGCTAAGGCAATTTGAGAAGGATGCCGTAGCTAGTGGGAGTTCTTTGTTTGATTTTGACCCGACTGACAATGAACAACCAGAATGTAGCTATGACAATCCAACTGTATCTGATTGGGGAAACTTGGCTGAGGATTTTGACCTGTCATCATTTATTGCAGCTGCTGAAGAAGAGCACCAGATGCCAACTCATGCAAGGAGCAAAACAAGTGCTAAAATTTTGGAAGACTTGGAAGCAGAAGCATTAATGAGTGAGTGGGGGTTGAATGAGAAGGCTTTTCAGGGTTCTTCACCTCACAATTCTGGTGGGTTTGGGAGTCCAATTGATTTGCCTCCTGAAGATCCCTTTGAGTTGCCTTCTCTTGGAGAAGGTTTAGGTTCATTCATTCAGACAAAAGATGGAGGTTTTTTGCGGTCTATGAACCCCACAATTTTCAAGAACAATAAAAGTGGGGGGAGCTTGATCATGCAGGCTTCTAATCCAGTTGTAGTACCTGCAGAAATGGGTTCTGGTGTAATGGAGATACTGCAGCAACTGGCCTCTCTTGGAATTGAAAAACTTTCCATGCAGGCAAATAAGCTGATGCCTCTAGAAGACATAACTGGGAAGACAATGCAACAAGTAGCATGGGAAGCTGCTCCTACTCTGGAGGAGCCTCAGAGGTTTGTGAATCTAGCTTCTGTCTGTGTCTTTTTTCAATATGTTTATCTCTTAAAAGTTGTTCGGAAACTTATCTCACTATTGTGCTTTATTTCTTCCTTGATGCAGACATTTTTTGTTACATCATGAATCAGATCTTGGGCAAGATATAACTGGTGGGCAAAAGGAAGTTAGAAGCAAATCATCTGGATCCCGGACTAATAAGTTTAATTCAACCTCTGCCAACGAGATGGCCTCAGAGTATGTATCCCTCGAAGATCTTGCTCCCTTGGCTATGGATAAGATTGAAGCACTATCCATGGAAGGCTTGAGAATACAATCTGGCATGTCAGATGAGGATGCACCTTCAAATATCAATGCACAGTCTATTGGGGAAATTTCGGCCCTCCAGGGCAAGGGTGTTGGCATTAGTGGGTCACTTGGTTTGGAGGGAGCTGCTGGATTGCAATTGTTAGACATAAAAGACAGTGTTGGTGATGATGATGGATTAATGGGTCTATCTCTAACTCTTGATGAATGGATGAGGCTTGATTCTGGTGAAATTGATGATGAAGATCAGATAAGTGAGCAGACTTCGAAAATTCTTGCTGCCCATCATGCTTCCTCCTTGCACACAATTCGTGGAGGGTCAAAGGGAGAGAAAAAACGGGGTAGAAAGTGTGGTTTGTTAGGAAATAACTTTACAGTGGCACTGATGGTGCAACTTAGGGATCCTTTAAGAAACCATGAGCCAGTTGGTGCACCAATGCTTGCTCTTATTCAAGTCGAGAGAGTTTTTGTCCCACCAAAGCCAAGAATATATTGCAAAGTTTCCGAGTTGAGGAGTAATAGTGAGGACAATGATATGCCTGAGACAGCTGTGAAAGAAGATGAAAAGGAGGAGATGAAGGAAGAAAAGGCTTCCCAAGAGGAAGGGATTCCTCAATTTAGAATCACTGAAGTACATCTGGCTGGTCTGAAGCCTGAGCCTGGCAAGAAGAAACTTTGGGGTAGCAAAAACCAGCAACAATCTGGTTCTCGTTGGTTACTTGCTAATGGAATGGGAAAGAGCAATAAGCATCCATTAATGAAGTCAAAAGCTGCCCCTAAATCTTCAGATTCCTTAACAACAAAGGTTCAACCAGATGACACTTTGTGGAGCATCTCATCTCGTGCACATGGTGCTGGGCCTAAATGGAAAGACTTGGCAGCACTCAACCCACACATACGAAATCCTAATGTTGTTTTCCCCAATGAAAACATCAGATTGCAATGAGTTCAGGCATGCACTTTTACTCAGGTTCTCATTCTCTAAGTCAAAAACTGCGATTTGAATGCTTCTTCACCTTAGCGATGATGATCATCCAGATCAGACAAGGTAAATAGACTTTGCTTGTGGTTTTGGAGTTTCTTTCATATTTTCTTCATTTGTGGTATCAATACAAACATGTTAAGAGAATGATCATGCTATATATCTATAATTCCTTATTTATGTAAAATTCATACAAGACATGAAAGGAGTTGTGTTTTTTTCTTTTCTCAGTGTGTACGCCTTCTATTGCAGCAGCTGGTCTTTGTGTAGAGAAGTTCAAAAGCTTCATGTCTGCTAGTTTGATGAAATATAGGAATGAAAATATGGAATATTTGTTACCCAGTACCATTGCTGCATTAGTCAAGGAAGATGCTAGCTCCTTTTATTTTATTTTATTTTATTTTAATTTGTAATTTTTTTACTTGAAGCTTCCTTTTTTATTTTAGTACTCACTTTTTTTTTTTATAACATGAAGCTCTTTTTTTTTTTTTATAATTTTTTTAATGTAAAGACTAAGAATTGAACTTAAAACTATGGTTAAGTGCATAAATAATTCTAGTACCAGATCAAATGGCTAATGGTGATGGAGAGTGTTAGCTTGAATCTAGTCTGCAGTAATCCCCACGTACCAGCCTCTGAATCAGACATTGTTAAGGAAATATGGGATGGATGATTCTCTGTCTAATCACCTTTCTAATAACCCAGATTGTGAACCGGACAAAATCGAAGTTTTGTAGTTCAATCTGTGAATACTTCGAAATCAAACAGAAACAAATAAAACAGTAGGAAGGCATATAACTTTGGTTCCACTTATTCAATCTAGACTCGGCAAATTTGGACTTAATAGGGCAAATACAGGCTTTTGACCTTGATTTAAATCTAGAGGTGTTCGTGACCTGGTTTGATTTGGATTTTAATATTTTTTTAAATCAATTTACTTTAATAAGTTAGTAAAATTTTTAAATCAATTTACTTTACTATTATATGATAACTAAACTAATTTAACTTAAATCAGATCAGTGTAGTTCGGTTAGATTAATTGGTTTTATCACTATTAAATATGTGAAATAATGTAAAAAATTTTAATATCATGTAAAAAATATAATTATAAAATACATTAATATCTAAATCGATAGAAACATAATAAAAAACAAATTATAAATAAGTTCTTATATTTCTTTTACCATTGTAAAAATTGAAAAGATGTGAAAAGATTTGAAAATTCTTTTTGACTATATCACCAAAAGCACCAAGAATAATAAAAGGTAACTTCAAGTTTTAAATATAATGCAACTAATTCTTAAAGGTTAAAAGCAGTTCTTTTTCTTAATGCACTAATGATTCAATTTCATATTCTAAACTCTGTTAAATGTAAATAAAATTTAATATAAATATCACTAGAATTGATTAGAAATACTCATAATTAAGATTTAAAACTTTTCAACAAAAAAAATCTAAGAATAATAAAATATCAAAATTAGTTCTATTATGTAATTTTAAAAATTTTAGAATGATACTTTTGTAAAACATAGCTGAGAGAATCATAAAATCATTTTAAGAACAAATTAGAGTTATGGTTTTAAGAATAGAATCATAGACCAGTTGGATAGAGTTAGGTAAATTAGAATTTAGAATTAGGGTTAAAATACATGATTAGGAAAGAAAAATAAATTAGAGAATGTGGATATTCTTTTTTTATTTTTTATTTAATTTTATGAAGTTATTATCTTGTAAAACAAGAAAAATAAAGTTTAAAATTCTACAATAAAATATATTATATTGTTTAATTAAGTTAATTTGTAATCGAATTTTATTTTGTAATCAAGTAATTTAGATAATTTAAAGATAAAAGTACAAATCAAACTAATTATATCAATTATAAAATTTTATAATTCAAACTAATCCAATTTTATATTAATTTGATTTAATTTTTAATTAAATTGGATTAGTTCAAGTTTGATTAATCGGATTAGAACGGATATGAACGCCTCTAGTTAAACCGAACAAAATCAACACCAAGGAGAATCAAACCATGGGAAACACCAAATACGCAAGTAGAAAGATTTAGAGAGCGAATTGTAGAGCCTATGGGTTCTTGTCCTTGGTGGAGTCCTCCATCAAAATCCACGGCGGAGATATGGGTGATACTCTCCCTGTTGTTGCAGATGATTAGCTTAAGATGGGTTTCACTTTCAATCAATTTCTTGAGATGCGTATTGACGAAATCTGGACCGTCAATATGGGAACAAAATCGATTTAGAACGGGTCCTGAAACGCAAGAGACTTCCCGGAAGGCAAAGGAGGGGGTTATGGACTAATTCCGGCAAGGATGGCAGCATTTTCAGCTTAGGATTATTACCAGGCAAAATTCGAAGCGGAATGTCTGATGAATTTCAAGCCAAGGTTTTGTTGTGGGGAATGTAGCTGCAGCCATACCGAAGAATTCTGGTATTGCTCAGCTGGGAGAGGTACGTCGAGACTTGGGATGTGTTGTAGGTTTGGCACAGAAGATACCCTTGCCAACCAAGATGTCCGTCCACCTTTCTCATGCCAAATTGGGGTAAATTCTTTAAATGGAGAATTGAGATCTCTCCTAAACAGGGAATATTACATTTCCAATTTAGAGTCAAATAAAATACACGGTTCAAAGCCTGCAAACTATCAAACATTAAAACTATCCAACTTACGGTTCCAAGGTCTAGGGTACCTAATACATAGCTTGCCACAAAGAAGAGAAACTGACCAAATAAACAGTTAGCTCCTGACTAGCATGATATAATTATGTGAGGTGAGAACTTGCCCACCTCTTTATTGTCAAGGCCGCACTCTCTTGTTGCTGCATGAGGGGCATTTGTATTGCTTGATGTGCTCAGCTCTGGCAGGGGTGATCTTCACACACTTGCCGTGAAACCACTTTTCACATATGTCACAACAAATCCAGAACTCATCAGAAGCATAATTCTCCCCACATGCTCCGCACAGAGTTTCCCCATGTTCCTCCTCATCATCTTCCTCGTCCAATCCCTCATCCTCATCTTTTGCTTGTAGTTTGTTCGAGTATTTGCTAGATTCAGACCCTCGCTGTATTCAAATCCATTGCAAAACCAAGACAGAGCAAACAACAATGAACACCATGCCAACAAAAGAAGATCTTTAAAACCAAGTCAATAAAACCATGAAGTAACTACAAAGAAAGCAAGACTGGTTTTAGCACAATAACTAAGCTCTGAAAAGAGGAAGAAGTCACTAGGGAAGCAAATAAGAACCTGATAGTCCTCAAAGGATTTCTAGCACAAACTCAGTTGTTGAGGTCATACCAACACTCAACAAATTTAACTCTGCTTAATAAATTGGGATTCAAACCAAAGAGTAGAGAGAGCAATAGAGAATGTGAAAGGATTAATGCATTAATTAGTTTTACCATTGACAGTTGAACAGTCAAACTTCCTATCATAGTAAAAGCTATTCTTTGACAGCAATTGAATTTTATGAAATCTTGACAATAAAAGAAAAAAAAAAAAGTAGGATCTGTTTTCAGCAGATTCCTGACGAAATCCCATACCTAAAGAAGATAACAGTTAACGCCTCAAAGACAAAACCCAAAAGGAAAAAGAAGAATAAGTTGCCCCCAAACCAAATCTTGACAATTAGAGTTAGAATAAGTACAGATCTTTTTTTTTTTATTTTAAAAAATAAACATTCGCCCAAAATAAAGGAAAACAGACAGCAGATCACACTCTCCAGGGGACCAGGATTTAACTTGAATGCAATTACATAATTAAGTAATATCATAAGGTCAGCGGATAACACACCAAAATAGGCAGATACTAGATTATAATCTTACATAAAATGGGTTTATAGGATAAGAATTGGCAAAATATCCAGACATTGACGCAAGCACACAATAATAATAAATGTTCACAAATAATGTCATCAGTTTAAGAAATCTGAGAAGAAATGTATTTTTACCCCTTTTGTGCCTGACTTAGATTTATTGGTGCTCTGATGTGTTGAAACTGTTGATTTCTCCTTCGCTTGCTTCTTGGCACCTCCAGTCACAATTTCAAATATTGTAGG